AGCTAGCCAGTTTTCCCAAAACCATTTACTAAACAGAGAATCCTTTCCCCATTGCTTTTGTCTGGTTTGTCAACGATCAGATGGTTGTAGATATGTGGCATTGCCTCCAAGGCCTCCAAGGCATTTGGTACCAGTACCATGCGTTTTGATTACTGTAGCCTTGTAGTATAGTTTGAAGTCAGGTAGTGTGATGCTGCCAGCTTTGTTCTTTTTGCTTAGGATTGTTGTGGCTACGCAGGCTCCCTTTTGGTGCCACATGAAGTGTTTTTTTTTTTTTTCCAGTTCTCTGAAGAAGTTCATTGGTAGCTTGACAGTGTTAACGTTGAATCTATAAATTACTTTGGGCAGTATGGCCATTTTCATGATATTGATTCTTCCTATCCAAGAGCATGGAATGTTTTTCCATCTGTTTGTGTCCACTCTTATTTCTTGAGCAGTGGTTTATAGTTCTCCTTGAAAAGGTCCTTTACATCCTTTGTTAGTTGTATTCCTAGGTATTTTATTCTCTTCGTAGCTATTGTGACTGGGAGTTCGTTCTTCATTTGGCTGTTAGTCTGCTATTAGTGTTTAATAATGCTTATGATTTCTGCACATTGATTTTGTATCCTGAGACTTTGCTGAAGTTTCTCATCAGCTTAATGAGATTTGGGGCTGAGGCTATGGAGTCTTCTAAATATACAAGCATGTTGTCTACAAATAGAGACAATCTGACTTCCTCTTTTCCTAATTGAATACCCTTTATTTCTTTTTCTTGCCTGATTTCTCTGGCTAGAACTTCCAATAACACATTGAATAGGAGTGGTGAGAGAGGGCATCGTTGTCTAGTACCAGATTTCAAAGGGAATGCTTCCAGTTTTTGCCTGTTCAGTATGATAACTGGCTGTGGGTTTGTCGTAAATAGCTTTTACGACAAATGATTTTGTGATATGTTCTTTAATATCATAAATGATTTTGTGATATGTTCTATCAATACCTAGTTTATTAAGAGTTTTTACCATAAAGGGCTGTTGAATTTTGTCGAAGGCCTTTTCTGCATCTATTGAGATAATCATGTGGTTTTTGACTTTGGTTTTGTTTATGTGATGGATTGCGTTTACAGACTTGTGTATGTTGAACCAGCCTTGCATGCCCAGGATGAAGCCTACTTGATCATGATGGATAATCTTTTCAATGTGCTGTTGCAATTGGTTTGCCAGTATTTTATTGAAGATTTTTGCATCTATGTTCATCATCGATATTGGCCTGAAGTTTTCTTTTTTTGTTGAGTCTTTGCCTATACAGGCATTATTTATAGTCACAAAATCTTGAAACAAACAAAATATCCTCCTACAGGTTCAGTAAATCATATGGTACATCTGTAAGATTATTATTCTGCATTAAGAAAAATCTATTGATATACACAGCAATGTGAATTAAGCTCAAATACACATGCTAAGCGAAAGAAGTGAGAATCAACTCAGTAAGTTACATATGGTTTCACTGCATTTATATGACATTGTTAAAAAGCCAAAACAATAAGGAGAGAAGAGAAATCAATAGTTGTCAGACTGTAGGGATGAGGAGAAAGTATGACCAAAAAGAACATGACGACAGAGTTAAGGGAACCATTTTGTACCCTGGTTGTGCTGGTGGTTGCTCAATACATTTGTTGAAACTAATGAAATAGTACTCTAGAAAGGTAGATTATTATATGTAAGTTTTAAAACTACAGTGTTACATAGAAAATATCTGAAAAGGAATGAGGTGTATAATATGTCCTATTTGATACAAATTCATTAATTCAACTTTTTTAAAACATTGCAACACACAGAATCCTAATTTTGTGAAACAGTTACAATGAAGGTTGTGGAGATCAGATGATCAGGGTAGGACTAGAGATATTCACTTGGGGGTCATATCCATGTATACGAAGGCAATAAATGTAATAACTCAGAAAACAAAAGAACATATGTATATGTTTCTATCAAACACTATACAAAACTAAAAAAGTTTGAAGGAAAATGACTAAAATACCATGACAAATTATTTTTATTTTTACTATTTCTTAGACATCTTGTTATAATATGAAGAGCAATTAATTGTGGAAAAAATAATTCTCTAGAAACAAAATATTCTAATTAACATATTTCTTCACAATTTTGTTTTCAAACAGAAGTACACAGGAGCAATCAGCAATAATTACATACATTATCATTTTATAAAACCACCTATCTTCTCACATAGGCCACAAAATGGATACCTATTTTCCCTCTGGAATTTCTGTGAGCCTACTATAACCACTGTGGTTCTTATAAGCTTCAGAATTAGTAAGCAAACTCTATTTGTATCTTTCTGTACACCCTTTGTACCAACTTTTTTCCAGAAAATCAAGAGGAAGGAGAAAGCTTCAATAAAGTACAAACAGTAGAGAGATTAATGAAGATTTCTTGGCTGTTGTCTAAAAGAAGGGGGAAAAAAAAAAGAAAAAATGGCAAGTCTGACTAGAATTTAAGACACTGGAATATTTTTAAAGGCCATTATGTGTCTTTTCCTGATTGATAGAGAGTTCTGGATATTGAATTTAGAGGGGGAGTGCTTACTTGTAAGATTTTGGCCCTAGCTCAGTTAGATGTATGGCAGAACAGTGACATGTGGATGTGACAGACACAAAGTACCATATAGCAATTACTGTGATTCATCTGCTGGCATCTGGAAATTGGTAAAAGTGGGTTATCAGTGATTCCAATACCATATGAAGTACAGCTGTTGCACAGAACTTCTGAAGATTTATGTCTGTAAAGCTTCAGAATTTAAAATACCGAATTAGCAGAAAATTAAGATGAAAGAAAACTTTTATGCCTGCACAAATTATTATGTGAATTACTAAGAAATGGTGGGATAAACCATGTTGGTTTAGTTTCAAGAAACAAATATAGTATTTATACATTATCAAAAACATTTCATCCTCTGAACTAAAATCATTTCTCTGTATCTCTCTTACATTGAATAGGATATTATATATTTAGTTGAGGGCAGACTATCAATGACTTATTTTTATATCACTATATCTACCACAAAATCTTAAGAGTACGGATACATAAAAACATTCAATGAATACACAGAAGATACAGAAATCTACTGAGTCAGACAATAATTGGATGTTAATAGTCTATACATAAGCATTTTTAAAAGATAAATCTGCTATACTAACATCAATTATTAATTGTGCCTTTATTATGTTCCTATACCCGTGTGAAAAATGCTGTGTACATCTGATCACTTAGGTATCAAATCTTCATAAATTTGGTTGAGTCCCTATTTAATGACAAGAAATATGAAGACATGGAGAGATAAAGAAATAGAACAAACAGTGTATATCTTGGGAGTGCTTCAAGCACATACAAATCTTATTTCAAATTAGACACTATTTTGGAAAATCAAATTCTAATTGCACAGTAAAGCAATAAGAAAATACAGAATAATGAACTAAAATATTTTTACATAATTAAAATGTGTCCATATATTTTATAGTTTCTTTAACAAGTGTTAACTTCAAGTATTTTTTTTTGCACTGTCCTGCTCTCTGAAAATCTAGCACTGAATTTCTTTTTGTTCTATTCTTTGCAGACACTCTATCCTATGATAATTTTTAAATGCTGTATTTTTATTTTTAAAAAGTAGCTCAACTTTACAAATGGGAGACAAAATAAAGCCTCCCTAAAGATGGCCATTGAGGAGGTTATCCTGGATTATCTTCATGTGAGTGGTGCCAACATAATCACAAGAGTCCTCTTAAAAGGGAGGTAGAAGGGTAAGAGAGAGAGATGTAACAATAGAGGCAGAAACTGGGGTCTTGCACTTTGCGGCAGAGGAAAGTGGCACAAGCAAAATAATGCAGATAGCCTTGAGAAACCAGGAAAATAATGTAGGGAATCCTCCCCTAGAGCCTTGAAAAGGAACGCAACCTGGTTGACATCCTGGCTTTTAGAACTTGTGACCTCCCAGAACTATAAAATAATAAATCTGTTTTTTGAAGCCACTAGGTTTTTGGTAATTTGTTACAGCAGCAACAGAAAATGAATACACTGTGGCACACATTTCTGCAGTAAAAGACATCTAAGGGTGTTTGCAGAAGTCTTTCCTTAGCTATAGTCAACCAATCATGATGTTCATTTATGTCAGCAGATGATTTTCCAAAGAATGATCAGCAATAGCAGGAGCATCCATTACATTTTTTTTTTTACTGTTGCATTCATTTTAACATGTATTTAATAAAAAAAAAAAAATCCATGTTTTCTGAGCATCAGCAATAACATCATAAAGCTGTAAGTTAAGAAAAGGGTTTTTTTTCCTAATTTGCTAGGCTTGTTAGAACTCTATAAGCCACAGAGATAAATAAAATTTTATTTCAATGGTATGCTATGATAATACTTTTGTGTATATTCTTGTACCACAGAGACAAGATGTCTTCAACCTAGGCTACATGTTAGAATTATGAGGAGAATTCTAGAAACAAACTTTATTGCCCAATCCTACCCTGAGAGATTGATTTAATTGGTTTGTGGTGGGACCCAGGCATCAGTACTTGTTAAAAGCCCTTTGGTAACTCTAACATACAGTGAGAGGTGGGAACCAGAAATACAGATGCAATTTTAAAAAATATACAACACTGTATTTTCCATAACTCTTAATTAGTAACAAAACTTCCTTGATGGAGGTAAAATGTTGAGTTATAATATATAAAAATATAAGAATGGCAACAAATACATTATAAGAGGTTTTTTTTATGGTTTTTTATGAGATGCTATCCTTCATAGATAATGTAAAGGCAGTTTTACTAAACTAGGCATACATGGTTGCTAATTTCTCTAATCTCATTACATGCATATGTGGCAAGCATTATGTTATTCATTAATTTCAAAATCACATAATGGAATATATTCATCTAACAATATTTTCTATCACTTTATTCTGTAATTGACTGAGCTTTCACTGTGAAATGCCAATTCTCTAATTGTTACAGTCTGCTTTTTGTCAAGAAAAACAAAGTTATGAATTCTATAGTAAATATTTAGGGAAAGAAGTCCCTCATAAAATATAAATATAGCTTACTGGAATTATGTCTATGTGTGATATCTAATGAAAGTCAAAATCAAAACATTCATAAAACTTATCTTTTACTGAAAGATACCAAAACTGTATGTGACTAAGATGGCTGAACTTGTATCTCCAAATTGCTGTGGTGCTTTCACATAAAAATCTTTCCTCATTTTGTGTTTCACAGAATGGCAAACAGATATGATACACGTGATTAGAAAAGCTTCACTGTAATTTTAGCTGTAATGTTTGTACAAAAGCCATGATATAAAGTTGAAGACTTTAAATTGATAATATTCTTTCCAGATAATGTTTTGATCTCTACTACAGTCAAAATTTAAAAATTCTAATTTTAATTCTATTGCAAATTATGAAAAAACAACTGTATGATTATAATTTTTATTTTATATTACCAATGGAATGAGATACAAGGTAATTATTTTAAGAAAATGTATTTAAGACTTTTTCTTAGGAAAAAAGATTATATACTAATTATAGACCCTCGAAAACATACTTCCTTTCCAAATGAATTTAAAATATATTAATATCCATAATCAGTGTTCATTAACATATTCTGATAAAATTAGAATCTATTGTATCATTCATTAGTTATAACCACAATCAAAAGGTGGAAGAGAAGAACGTATTCATAATGTTCAACAGGTCAAATCATTAAATTTTATTATTCTTTATGTGACTTATTAATTAAATCTCCAGCTTCAAGGCATAAAGAAAACACATATGTAGTATCAAGTGCACCAAAACAAAAACACAAACATAATGACATGCAATTGATGATTTTCACTGCTACAATTCAAATCATCCTGTCGGACTACATCTTTTACAAAATCACATTCTCTTGGAAAGTAACAGAACGCTTTTCTCAACTTAGAAAACAGCCTAAGTCACTAAATTAATTCAAGGATATTTCACAAAATATGCTCCACATATATAACAGCCTCTAAGACACCTTTATGCTTTAAAATAGAAACATATGGTAATATTACAAATACTGAATATAAGAAAATAAAAAAGTACTATATTCTTCAACAATTATAAGTTGTTTCTTAAGTACAACCTTTTAACAGTAAATAAGTTACAGATTTTTAAGCTATTTCATATATAGTTCATATATGTACATATAAACAATGTAATTAGCCTCTAATAAGCAGCAGAACCATTGTAACTGTATCATCAGTATTTATTGTTAAATCTGTAAACCTAACATATAATTGCTAAAAAGGTAGGTAAATATTTAACACTTAGCAATAAATAAAAACATATGTAATACATATTTTGCATTTGCTTTACAAAATATCTCTGCATCTGCCTGAAATATATTGCTTAACATTGTTCTGTAACTACCCAACTAATTGATGCTAGGCAGCATTAATAGGGATAAAAAAATATTTTGTCCTAGAGAAATTGTATCAACTATAATTTTAATATTAATAATTTTACTAATAATTTTAATTAGTAAAGTTTATGAAATATAAAAAGGTTTATTAGGAATTTGGGGAGGGTTGGGGATGCGGGTAAATAAGCCATAGTAAAATTCCTTGTTTAACAGAAAATGATTTCTTAAAATCACAAAAATATAGATTGTCACTATAGTTTATAAACATCATTTCAAGAACATGTGAAAATAACATCTCATTCCATTATTACAAAGGGGTTTTCTATCCAAAGTGTTACATAAACGAAGTATTTCATAAATTATCCCAAGCAAAACTCCAGTGTTAACCTGAACAAAATAATTTAAGAACCAGGAACCTAGATGGAACTGTATAGAGCATCTACACAATCCTCTCATTTTAATAAGAGAAACTAGAGCCCCAAGAAATGTATTTGTTTTCTTCATAACCAAGTTATCAGCCCTGGCTCCCCAATTCTCACAATTCTCACTTCAAGGCACTGCTCACCCACAGCAATTTTAGTCAGTTAGAATCCACCCAAAGTTTAACTGTGACTTATGCCAAGTTTGTCATCATCTTACCTTTCTGGATAATCTAGGCCTCTCCACTTTGAATGTGCCCTCATAGAATGTGCAATGACTTTGAGTTGGTGAAGTAACAAAAATGCTATTAAACTACTTTCTGTAAAGGCCCAAGAAAAGTCTATCCATAAAGACCTTTATGTTTTGAGTAACAGAAAATACTAAATCACAAGGGCTGACTCATGTCTAAAAATGACTACATCTATTTCGAGCTTCAAGTTCTTTACAGTCAGAGCACCAGTTTCTCATCTCAAAGATCTGGGGTCTGTAACTAAAGACCCCAGGGAACTGTAACTAAATAGTAAGGTAGCTAACTCTTCACATTCACACGTCAATCAGTGGTAGAGAAAAAACACAATGTCAACCATGGCAAAAACGATGCCAGAAAAGGGGTAAATGAAAAGCAATTCAAATTCATCCCTGGCCCATACCTCTCTCATAAGTCGATGATGCTACCAAGATAAATTGAAGGCTTCCAGGTTTGGGAAGAAAACATGTTCCTGGATAGCCAAAGTTTCTGCTTTCTGAAAGGCTTTCTCTTGTTCATGTTACTCCATGGCCATACTGAGAAAAGTATTGTAGAGAATGCCTTTTCTGGGAGCCATACAGTTATCAGCTCATTTTCTCTGTAGTGGAAAGCCTGAGAACTTGCCTTAGGGATTGAACAGTCTCAGACTGCTACCAGGATTACCATTTCTATGGATACAGATTTCTGATAAAAATTCAGGATGCTTCTATTGTGGCTGAATCTAGTCAAATCTATGGCCTTGTCGCTTTAGGGTCCTTCTAGGACTCTGGATACTCTAGTGTTTCACAGGCACAGGGTTGTAATCTTGTCTATTCTACCATCCTCAGTGTAATGGCCTATGCCATAGGCAATTGAAAAGATGACCCCAAATTGAATTTATCACATACAGTTCTGCCCCTTAGATGGAACACAGGATGCTCAAAGGAAGGTACGTAAGAGAAGCCAAAAAGGTTAGGTTTTGTCCTTTCCCAAACTTATCTCCTAAAAAAATACCCAATTCAATGGCCATTGCCAGCACTAATTTCAGTTTAAGGCACAAAATTAAACTGTTCTAACGCTAAATGTTTCAAATCATAGGTGATGTTCCTAGCCAGGGAAACTGCAGACTTCCTGGTCTGGGAAGAGAATATATTTCTGGATAGCCCAAGTTTTAAATCATCAGACTCTCCCTCCATGTAGATTTTTTCTCTCTGTTTTCAAATAAGTCACTTTGCACCTAAGTTTGTTTCTTTATTGCATACTGCAAAAAAAAAAAATGAACATAGTCCAGTTTTGTTACCTTTCCCCAGCATTTCCTCTAATGTTTCAGGATCTATAGGCACAAGGTTAATATCCAAAGGCATAACAAATAAGTTTTCTTTTTTTTTTTTTGAAATCAGTTACAAAGGATCACCTACATCCCAGCCTGAAGAGTGAGGTATCACTGCTGTAATCCCTAGCTCCTCCATTCATCCAAATACGTTTCAGAAACTTTTGTGGCAGCACCGCATGGCATAAACCAAATGCTATACCAAAAGAATGTAGTTGGCTGCAAAGAACAAACATTCTTCAAATAATTTTACAAGAAGGAAATCCCTAGAATACATTCTAGGGTTGGACGTTTTCGTGCATGTGATTCTCTACGCTTAGGAAAATTTAAATGAGATAGACTGTCAAAAGTAAAATAACTGGTTCTAGGTACCATAGTCTATTTTAAGACAGACATATCTCTCCATATGTATTAGTCCATTTTCATGCTGCTGATAAATACATACCTGAGACTGGGCAATTTACAAAAGAAGAGGTTTAATTGGACTTATATTTCCACATGGCTAAGGAAGACTCACAATCACGGCAGAAAGTGAAAGGCATGTTTCACATGGAGGCAGAAAAGAGAAGAGAGCTTGTGAAGGGAAACTCACCTTTATAAAACCATTCAGATCTCATGAGAATTATTTACTACCATGAGAACAGTATGGGGGGAACTACCCTCATGATTCAATTATCTCCCACCAGGTCCCTCCCACAATATGTGGGAATCACGGGAGTGACAAGTCAAGATGAGATTTGGGTGGACGCAGCCAAACCATATCACCATGGTTCATTTTATTAATCCACACCTTCATGTTTATAGTAGTCTAATTATAACAAGGTGTAACAATGGTGGTGGCAATAGGAATATAAAGAAAACTCCAATGTTTTTGTGTGTGGCTCCTGCCTGGCTTCTCCTAATCTGGATAAGCAAATTTACACTTTGGAAGACGGTTTCTTTAGTTTTGTTTCAAGTCAATTGATGATTAAAAGAGTACTAGTAATGGCAATACGAGAACCACCTGAAATATGTTTTTTATATTCCACTAAGGGTTGAAAGTCAAACAAAAATAAATTTTCTAGGTATCAAATTCTAACAGAATACCACTGTATTGGTATAGTAGCATGGCCAGGAGGCACTGACTGGAAAAGTTAACAAGGAAAAGATGTGGCAGTCAAAATAATGACATACTATGATAGAAATGAATAAGGAGGCAACTGTAAAAGAATGGGTATGTTATTTAACCTAAGCATTCCACTTCTTAGATTTCTCTTTTGCAGAAATAAATGCACATGAACATGACTGTACATATTCACACATCTTAATGTTCAGAGCAGCACCAATAGACCACATAATGGTTTACAACAGTTAAAAGAAATGATAAATTTAGATAAACTGGCATGTAAAGTCCTCCAGGACATACAAATCCATATATATACATACGTATATAGACAGATTTGATAATCCAAGTAAAATTTATCAAAGTAGATATCCACTAAAAGGTCAACAGTTATTTTCTTTGGAGGATTTTATGGCCTGAATATATCTGCTCCCCATACCCAGTTAATCCCAATGTATTAGCGTTCAGCTAAATACTATGGTATTTGGAGATGGGTCTTTTTGGAAGGTAATTAGATCAGAAGGGAAGAGTTCTCATGGCCTTCCTATAAGGTAGACTAGTACCCTTGTAAGAGGCCAGAGAGCTAGCTAACTCTTTTCTGCCATGTGTGTGTATACAAAGTCAGTCTTAGCAACCTGGAAGAAGGCCCTCACCAGAATCCAACCATGTTGGCACCGTGATCTTGAAAATCCAGCCTCCACAACTGTGGGAGATAAATTTTTCCTGTTTATAAGCCACCCAATCTACGGAAATGTGTTATAGTAGCCTAAAGTAAGTAAGACAGAGAGAAACAGGATTGAAAAGAATTTACTGGTTGATAGAATTATTTTTCGAGAAAAATAAATGTTAAAAATGACAGGCTACTTGGTCAAATAAAAATGATAGACTATCAAAAAGAGGTCTTAGCCTTGGGATATGGTACTATACAATTATTAAATAGCTAGTGTAGCAATGTATTAAATAGCTTGAGTCCTGATTTTTTAATAAGCTCAGTAACAGAAGTTGCTCCCAGAGTTCCCAAAGATACACAGATGAGATAACAGAACAAACTCTAGAAAACTTACAGAAGGAAAATATCAAGGAGAGGATTTTGTCCCACCATCAATGGATTCAATGCATTTAACAATGTTTAATCTACACTGAAAGATGGCTGAATCAGACAAGATCTAAGATTAACATTCACACTTTAGGCATATAATTTAATTTTTGCTCATGTGCAAAGATGAAAATTAAGTATTTAAGTGAAAGTTCCTTTTTCAGATTCACAGCCTCCACTTTAATAATTTTATTTTTATTAAGTCTCATCATGTATGGTTCATGAAAAATATTTTTAGTATCCAATATTCACTAAAAACTGAAACAACAAAGATAAGGTTTTCTTTTTTCAAGTATTTCCCACATGATACCTAAATCATTACTTATAAAACTACTTAGGCCCATTAAACATATATACTATGCTGCTCCTGACTGTTCTACTCATATGCGTTTAATCAGTCATGGTACGCTGAAAACATACACTCAGTCTCTAGACAAATTTCTAGGGAATTTTCTGTTCCCAAAACTTAAGTATTTCTGGATTATGTACCAATACGTATATTTACAGTTTTCTGTTTAGACAAAAAGACATTTTCTTAGCATTTCAATAATCCATACTAGCACAAGTATTGTAACAGAAAAAACAAAGGAACTGGGACATTTTTCTGAATCCTTTTCAAGTCTAACTTCTGCTTGTCAATAAAATATTCTTGCTACTTCATTTTTCTGTTAACCTGTATAGATCCAAGGCTACCCTTAAGAGTTGCTCAACAAAGACCATGAATCAACAATGTGTATAGCACAATTATAAATGCCCTGAAGGAAATAAAAAGGGAGTAAAAGAAAAACATCAAAGGCTCCCTATGAAGAGAAATGAATGTGACTTTGTAAATCCAAACTCAATTTGGTAGTTTTGAGGGAATATGGGATTGGTAAGAATTAAATAATTCCTCGAGAAAAAAGGAGTTGAGGAGGAGGAGCCACGGATTTGAGATGATGGGAAGGTAAATCTCCTTTAGTGAAGCAGAAGCAGGAATTAGGTAACAAGTCTAGAGATTTGTGTGGTTGAAACAGAATTACACTCAAGACAAAAAAATATCCTTAAAGATTAGCAAGTGCTAATACTCAGGAAGAGTGTTCCAGGCTGCAAGGTGATCTAGTTTCTAGTCTTAGATAATTGAAGAACTGAGCCAATGCCAGGACAGTTTGTACGAATTTGGGTAAAGTCTTTATTTCAATCCCTAAATAATTTTGTCCTATTTCATAGTCAGGACAATCAGAACAAATGTATGGTGTGAGCAAAGAGATGAGGTGAGGGAGTATGTTAAACAGATAAGTATTAAATACATTGTTCAATAATAAAGAAAGCAGTATGGTTTCAAGTCATAATTACTGCTGGTAACAGTTGCACAACTATCTGGAAGGTATTTTCAAGCAATGCATCATATAGTATTGCAGTTATTAATATTAAAAACTTAGGTAACAGACTGGCCCGGGATTCTATTCAATGTCTGCCTCTACTAGCAGTGTGAGGTTGAAACTCTCAGAGCCTCCTTTTGGTCACCTATAAAATAATAATACCCCAACAGGTTCACTGTAAGCATAGTATCAGGTAAACCTAGAGAACTCAGTTCATTGCAGGAACACAGTAGGCCCTCAGTAAATAATACTCATCAACTGCCCAACTTTTCAAAAGCAGTTTAATGCATATTAAATGTATTTACTTTCATGTGGCTTTCAAAAGAAATTTACATATACAATAACAATTTGAAGAATAGCAAGGGAATTCTGTCATTATTCCAATACACATGTATTTTATTAATATAAGTAATTGACTAGTATATAGCAGGTCTCTAGCTCCTTGAGAAGTTGCTTAACAAGTTCCAAAATATAAAAAGCGCTATTTTCAGCTCTTCTAGTCAGGATAATTGAAAATAACAAAAACATAAGAGAAAAAATGTAACTTAAATGCAGATAAGGATGATCCACACTCATGCAAATATTTAGTATGTTTTAACATCATTCACTGTCTCTCAAGATTCTGGCAGATGTAAACACCCATTTCAAAAAAAAAAAAAAAAAAAAAAAAAAAAAAAAAAACTCATGCACATTTCAAAGGTTCCAATTTCCCCTCTCTGATTGTTACAAATCATCAGGACTAGAATAAATCTCAGCAAGAGTGTGACTGAGGCTATCTCACAACCCTCATTAGCTACTGGTATATTAACAAGGGAAGTATTCTCTTAAGCATGAATAAAATCACTGCAACTCTAGAAATCTGAGGCATCACAGAACTGGGTTGAGCACAGCAGAGCCATTTTGCTGTGATCCGATCTCATTTGATATTCACAGTGGTAAAAAGTACACAAGAAAAATTCTGAATGTGCAGTGGTTTCTACCCAGATGGCAACATCATTAGAAAAATTATGGCTGCATATTTACCATCTGTAGAGTGAGAAGGCATTAGCCAACAAGCATCTATATGTTCAAGCAAGAGCTACCACATAGCCACATGCATGGGAAGTCTGAATGAGTAACAAAGCCGAAGGCTGTCTTACCAAAGAATGAATATTCATGATGTTGCCAAGTACCACACAGATTAAACACAACTGTTATAATTTCATATTGTTATGCTGCCTGACAGCAACATTAAAGATCAAAATAGAACATGATCAAGGATAATTCATCGAGAATGTGTATTTACCTAGCATTAAGAAATGAGTTAGACACTAGCAGTAATCACAGAGGTTTTTCTGAGTGGGAAAGACTGTTGTACAGAAATAGAATACAGACCACATGGAGAATCCCAAGTGAAAATATCCAAGGTAAATACAGGTTTGAGAAATCCTCTATAAATACGTAACTGCTTTACTTTTCTAAATCTAAATATGTTGACACCCATTTCCCTTTTTCTCAATTCTCTTAACAACTATTTATCTCAACTCTAAAACAATTCAGTATTATATAAGAATATAGGGACCTTTACTGATAAATATTTTGAAATCTCTCATACAATAACTATTTGGTTCAACATAGTCTTATCAAATCAAAATTAAAACTTCAAACACAAAAGGCTACACTTTCAAACATAAGGCTACAATGAAAATTCATCCAAACATAAATGTCAAATCAGC